CAGTGGAATCTTGACATAAGGTGGTTTTGACAGGTGGAGGGAATAGTCAAAATGAAGGCACACGTGAGAGAAGCTGGGTGCTACCTGGGAGTCACCCACGTGAAGGAGTGGATGTCAGGGTTTACTGATGTAAGAAAGAATCCTGAGGTTTCTCAGAACCTGAGGGCAAGTGAGACTTGGACATAAAGACACATATGATGCGGCTCCTCTCCGTACACCTCTCTGGCCACACAAAGCCTCTTGTGAGCACCGCAGGAGTCACTGTTTGCCTGGTTCATTTGCGACTATGACAAATCCCAGTCTTGGGCCAGTGGGGGACAGCTCATGCCTTGGGGTTCTGTTATTGCTTTATCTTCCCATCAGGTTACATGCATCACCTGGAAGCCAAAAACCTTCCACACCTTTCCATCTCCCCTGATCCAGTCAGGCTGGTGCCGTCCTTGGGATGAGCCCTCAGTCAACCTGTGCCTTGAAATAAAAAAACTGGTTCAAAAGGTTTGGAAACAGCACACATTTCCTTTACTTAGGGAAAAGCATTCTCTGATTCTACTTTTCAGATAAATCTTTAAACTTATCCTCCCACAACTTTAACATGAGACCCAGTGGGTTCTATAGTTAATGAGAAAGTAACAGATTTTCCTTTGGTGCTATTCTACTTGAGTTAGCAGTATTTCCCCAGCAAATATTATTGTGTTCCCTACTCAGTAAACAGTGTATTTAATTCAGAAGTTGTACGATAAAAATATTTGCATTGGAATTATGCATGTAAAATCTGGTGAAACCCTAAAATCTGTAGTTTAGTAAATGGTATTGTAGCAGTAGAAGTGTCAGTGTCCGGTTCTGAGAATGCACCACGGTTATATAAGATTTTATCACTGGGGAAACTGGACGAAGAATATACAAGAACGGTCTGTACTATTTTGCAAATTCATGTCAAATTATTTCAAAATAAAGTTTTTTTTAAAAAAAAGCAAGATAGAACCAGAGACCATCTGGTCTAGTTGTTTTCATCTTTAGTTTTAGCTGTGGCCTCTCTATTTTGTCCTCTCCTGTCTCCAGTCTCAGCGGCCCCAGACTCCTCCTGACAGCTGTAGGGCTTTGTGAAATACCGTGTTAAAAATGCTGATCCAGGGGGCCGGCCCGGTGGCGCACTGCTACAGTGCGCCGCTTCGGAAGCGCAGCAGCGCTCCCGCCGAGGGTTCGGATCCCACATACAGACCGGCCGCTCACTGGCTGAGCGAGGGGCGGTCGCAACGCCGAAGGTTGTGATCCCGTTGCCGGTCCCGGTCCGGTACGGGCGCGACACTGAGGGTTGCGATCCGTTGCCGGTCACGAAAAAAAAAAAAAAGACAAAAAGAAATTTCAAAAGTTGTAAATATATGACCTGTTTAAAAAAATGTTTTTTGAAAGGAGAAAAGGACAGAAAGCACAAATTTTCATTTATTTGCAGCAATTCATTTTTGTTATAAATGTATTGAAAGTGAATAAAATAGTTGCTACAATAAATAAGGAAAGTTAATTGTTTAAAGCAAATGTGGCCAAATGTCAAATCAGTAAATCTAGGTGAAACATATGGAGTTCATTTTACTATTCATCCAATTTAAAATTTTCCAAAATAAAAACTTGTGGAAAAGTATTACAAAATTAACATAAAAAGAAGTAAAAACGCATTGCTATTTAGTGGCTATTGATAGAAACACAAAGAGCCTGGGGAGTTTTTTTAGGACGAGTTGCTCTCTGCACATCATCATGAGTCACAGCTCTCTAGTTAACACTGTGGTTTCTTTTGTCAGACTAGGTGTGATTAATTAGACTGGAAAAGAGTTTCATGCTCCTGCATTCCGTCTCTGTGCTTTGGGAGATGGAGTCGTCCCTGTGGTTGAGACAGTGAGTGAGGTGGTTTGGGTTGGCAAATGGTTCACGGTTTACCACTCAGGGCATTTGCCAAAGAGCTGTTTCAGGACCAGAAGAGGAAGTCCCCTGCCTTCTGCTAGCTCGGCCTCCACCCTGACCACCTGTGAGGACTAGAGTTGATTATTAGCTTTCCTTTCCCTTCCCATTCAGGTCCAAGTCACAGAAATGTTTGCGGGAAAGCTTGAGCACTTTGAAGTTTGCTTCCAAGGATAACAGAATAATAATAATGTCTTGTCTTTGTCTAGGGATTTTCAGGTTGCAAAACCTTTCTCATAGATTCCCTAAGTTGAGTCTCACCTCCAGTCTGTGACATAGGCAGACTGGTGGTTTTATTTCTGCTTTATAAATAAGTGACATGATTTTTTTAAGGTCACAGAGTTTGTGTCAGGGCTGGGGTCAGAATCCCAGTCAATGCTCTTTTTACAGGAGACTCTCTTGTTCTAAGCAGAGATCTGGTTATTGTAAAGCATCTGCACACACTTGATGAATAAACAGGTGGTGGTAATTATTATTATTATTGTCATTGTTGTAATTCGTAGACAGTGTCCTTGGCCACATGTATAATTTTGGGATGTGAAGACTCCAGGACTTGGTAGTTCTCCAGGCTTTGACAGGAGGTGGCAGCGATGGTTTCCTCTCTTCCTACACCTCCAAATGGTTAGAGCCTGAAGACGCCATGTGGGTGTTGGATGAGTAAGACTTAAGTTTCCCTGAAAAGTGAAGCAGGTTGCCTGTGTGCCACATCCATAGAGATGTATGTGACAACCAACTGGCCGGACAGCCACCCTGGGGCTGCCTGGTGTGCATGTGCTCCAGAGGGCTCTCTTTGAGCTGCCATTCTTTATTTATTCAGTGCCAGTTGTTGATGCCTTGTATCTGCAGGGGAAACTGGTTGTGTCCTTTCCCCTAGCATCTTCTTTGCCCTCCACATTGTGGGACACAACTTTTACTGTCAACATGGGTGCTTTTCATTGATGCCGACACTATCCTGTTCCCTCAACATTTTGCCTAATGTCATGGGACACTGGGAGAATTGGTGGGTTTCCTTAATGGTGGGATGGTGTTGGATGAGTAAGACTTAGGTTTTCCTGAAAAGTAAAGCAGATTGCCTGTGTGCCACATCAATAGAGATCTGTGTGACAGCCAACTGGCAGGACAGCCACCCCAGGGCTGCCTGGTATGTGCGTACTACATGGGGCTCTTTGCGAGCTGCCCTTCTTTATTTATTTCACGCCAGTTGTTGGTGGCTCATTCCCTTAACATTCTGCCTGATGTCCTGGGATACTGGGGAAATTGGTGGTCTTCTTTAATAATGTATTAACCTAAATAACAAACAGAGAGAGAGGTTCTCTAAAAGAAAATTATATGTATTTGGGAATAGGACATCACCATGGGAATACATGTGCCATAGTAAACTATGTGCTTATTCAGGGAGGTAAAGGAAGACAAAAGGTTTTAAAGGAAAAGTGATTATTATTCTGGGATAATTATCCTTGGCTACAAGGATCAATAACAAGGGTGACGCCAGTCTGAGGTTGGACGGACAGTTGCCAGACAGATGTCCTCACAGAAGTATTTTTTGTGTAAGGTTGCAATGGCCTCTGTGCAAGGCTGTGTTTTGCAGAGTCCCATCTGATAATTCTCATCAGGGATCTGTGCACGAGAACCCTCCCTTTGTGGCCTTTCCCCAGCTCTATCTAGTTGTCAGGGTTTTTTTTAATACAAACAACTCCATTTCATTTTGATTCTGACAATTTCACAGATGGAACTTTTATTTTTGGCAGCTGGCCAGTTTGGGGATACAAACCTCTGACCTTGGTGTTATCATACTGCACTCGAACCATCTAAACTCACTGGCCAGCCCTCACAGATGGAAGTCTAAGGCTATACTTAAGAGCAGATTCACAGCTACCGCTTTCTAGGAACAGGAATCTCTCAGGGAAGGTGTTGATTGTTCACACCCTGAGAGAGACATTTAGAAGGTAAACTAGTGACTTGCCTCAAGAATACTGTTAATCGTCTACACAGGTATTTACCTAGCGCTATTAGGCACTTACTAAATATCTGTTGAATGACCTTCTGAAACGGTGGTTCTCAATCTGGAGGATGCCTGCCAACATTAGGATCACCTGCAGCACCCGTTAAACAGCAGACCATGAGGTGCCACCCTGGGGGTTTGATTCAGTTGGTCTGGGGAAGGGCTAAATGACTTGCATTTCTAACAAGTCTCAGGTGATGTGCAGGGAGGGTACTTTGAAAACCACTGTCATAAAGCAGGGATTGGCAAACTTTTCCTATAAAGGCCAAACAGTAAATATTTTAGGCTGTGAGGCCCACACAGTCTCTGTCACACTATTCAACTCTGTCATTGTAGCCACAGAAAATATGTCAACAAAATTTTATTTACAAAAACAGGTGGTGGACTTGTATCCCCCCCAAAATGTGCTGCAAATATAAAAATAAAAAAAATATGTTAAGAGCCAGATCTTCATTCTGGATAAATCTCTCAAAGCTCTTGGGATGGGAATCAGGTGTTGGTCAAATCCCATCTCTGACATTCATCAGCCATGTGACTTTCAGAAGGTCATTAACAGCTCTATAAAATGAGGATAAAAAAATATACAGTGAAAAGTGGACTTTATTGGAATCTTTGCCCAAGACACAATCTCCTGAATGACCCAGGTGGAGGGGCATTCAGTTCAGCTTCACCAACAGACCCTGATTTTGTGCCTACTCTGTGCCACAGCCTGTGCCAGACACCGGGGAAACAGAGATACTGACCTGTCTAAAGCATTGTGCTTGCCCCAAGGGCTCTGATAACTATAGGTCCAGAATCGATAGCTTTGGTGGAAACTCTGGTGTGTGCAAATTACACCCGCTCAAGAGAGGAAATATGGGTAATTGTCACATTAAAACTTATGTGGCAAAAACTTGCCACTACCCAGTGTGACTCCAGAGGATGATACACAGTCTGGAGTTATTGAACCTTGACCTGGGGATGGGGAGTGATGGGGCCTGAGCTTGGCTTAATCCACAAATGTAGCCCTTTGATGATTGGAATGAGCATTTGCTTCTTCTCCCCCCAGGACCCCAGGAGCAAGCACAAATTCAAAATCCATACTTATGGAAGCCCTACCTTCTGTGATCACTGTGGGTCACTGCTGTATGGACTTATCCATCAAGGAATGAAATGTGACAGTAAGTAAGTTTTCTTTTCCAGTAGATGGTGAGGCCGTGCAGCTTCGGCCCACGGTTTGCTGAGTGCTGAAGGTTCAGTAACTTCTCAACATCAACTTATCAATAGAGAGAATTAGTTCAGATATATACCATACCGAAAAAGAGTAGACTCTCTCCACTGTCAAAGTTTTGGTTTATTAAACTACTTAATTGCCTAATTATGAACAACAACAATAAAAAAGCACTTGATTTATAAATGAAGTTGGTGGGTGCTGTCACATTTTTTAAAATGGCAGAAATCTTCAATCACTGTAAAATGCAGGCTAGTCAAAGCCCAAAGAAGACTCCCACCTCCAGATTCCACATTTAGTTAGGTTTCAAAATAAGATAAGCAACCACAGTTATTATCTTCCTGTGTCTCTAATTAGTGGGTAGACTGTGGAAAAATCCAGTAGGTTCTCCTTAAAACTGAAACCAAGGGCCGGCCCGGTGGCGCACTGCTACAGTGCGCCGCTTGGGAAGCGCGGCAGCGCTCCTGCCGAGGGTTCGGATCCCACATGCAGACCGGCCGCTCACTGGCTGAGCGAGGAGCGGGCGCAACACCGAGGGTTGCGATCCCGTTGCCGGTCCGGTCCGGTACGGGTGCGACACTGAGGGTTGCGATCCGTTGCCGGTCACGAAAAAAGACAAAAAGACAAAAAAAAAAACTGAAACCAAAATGATTATAGAAATCAGGATAGCATCTTACTTAGGTTTGCTCACCCTGAATGTTTATGGATGGATCAAATTTACATCAGTTCAGTTCAAGGTGAAATCACTGAGGACCACTGACAAGGAGCACAGTAGCACTATTCCATTCTCCTTTTCTGGTCTGTACATGTCTCCATCAAATGCTGGGAGGGAAGAGAAACAACTGTGGAAACTCTTCAGTTTGATAGTTTTTAAATTATGAGATTTCCCAGGTTATTTGTTTAAATAAAGGTTTATGCTTTTAGGACATGAAAAGGTAATTACTGAGCTGCTTTTTCTGGTAGGGAAGCGTTCTGGCAATTTCGGCATGTTGTCATTCATTTATGACTACTTTAATGGCCAAAAGCTTTATATTTGTATCCTACTTGGAGCAAACACAGTATATAAAATTCAATGTATGTGAACATTGTAGAGTAGATGAAGACTTTTTCAGAACACAGGGATTCCTCACCTTGTAAAGTTGTACAATTCAACAGCCTAATGAAACCTTTGTTATCATCCGGGCCAGTGGTCTCTGTGCTTCAAGAAAACCTAGGATTCCAAAGACATGGTTTTCAGGGGTTCTGCAGGTGCTAATTCAAAGTACATTTGTAAATACATTTTTAACCATTTTAGAAATTGGAACAAAAATGAACACTCAAATGTATTACATACTCAACCTTGACAAAGTTGGAGATGACATTGGAGAGCTTATATTGCCAGCTTCGCTCACTGGGCAGAAGTTGCAGTCAAGTTTCTCCCACTGCACCCACTTAACTGAAGAGTCTACTGTGAAGAAGCATGCCAGTAAACACGGTTCCTGTTTGCATATACAGTACTCTTCTGTGTGAATCAGGATTTGTGGATGCTGTCCGAGTTTAACAAAATGAAGAAACAAATGAGATGTTGAAGCTGGTCTGAGACATCAACTAACGTCCCTAACAGCTGGTTTCAAAGTTTTGTTTGGATCAGAGAGCTTTATCAGTTATCCTTGAATGTCTTTGTAATAAATATGGTATAAATATGAATTTATTAACTAAGTTTGTGCTAATAAAATAATACTCATCTGGTTCATATATTAGGAATTCTGCTTTAGATTTTGTTTGAAAAATGAGTTCCATTACTAAAAAATTTTGAAAAACCACTGACCTGGAGCAGTGCTTTTTTTGTTTTAAAGTCTCTTTCTTGGAGTCCTAGAGTTTCTGGGGCTGCTGCCAGTATTCCTCCCTGGAGGGAAGAGGAAAATAAGCAGATGGGTGCCAGGACCCCAGACCCTTACCTTAACTTCTGCCCAGAAGCAGCCTCTTTCTGTGCCCTTACACGTTGTAGGATTATACTCCTAAATACAGTTCTACTTGGTGGGGAAAAAAACAAAAGTTAGCAACCACTTGTCTAGGCCAGCCTCTCAGTTTGTAGAGTAAGATGGAATCAGAGGGAGCCAATGAGCTTCCCAAGTATAAAAACTGGAAGAGCCAAGACAAGAACACAATCCAAAGCATGCTTACCCTCCCCCGCCCTCCCTGTTGCCCATATACTTTCCAGAGCCTCTGGCATTTATTTCTTTTAAATTGCAAATTCTGCCCAGGTACTTAAAAATATGACTTGGTGAACACAAGTTATATTAATGATACTTATACAACTTTTCAAGAGCCTTTATATTGGCTAAATCAAGGTACAGGATTTTGAACAATTAGATTTGGAAATAGAAGCCTAACAGAGTCCACATTTGTGAATCACCTAATTGTTCTTTCCTCAGTGGTGTCCATTATCCTGCTTTCAGTGTTTAATCATAGCAAATATGCATTATTCATGATGCTTTTCACAATTTACTTTGCTGTGTTAAAATTAAACACTCAAAATGAAACAGGTAGGATAGGAAGGCTCCACCTTCAAGGTTACAGAATAACCTTGTTGGCTCCCCATCAAGGATTTGTGAGGATTCCAGTGGCCATCCCTCCTCTGGAAGCCTAAAGGTCCAAGGATGATAGAGCTGGGACACCTGCTCAGAGTCATGGTTGTATTCAATGCACATGATTCTTTTCAGGGTTTCTTTGGTTCATTGCGATGAGACTGATCTTTTCTTATCCTCCTCCTGTCTCACCCACGTAATGTCAGTTGTAAGGAATGGCTTATCATGCCAACCATGCATTTGTTTGACTTGGAATAATATTTAAATATTTGAAGACAGGTTTAAAATATCAAACACAGGTTCTTAAAAAGAAAAGGCAATGTACTTAAATCTTCTTGAAAATACAGGGTTAGCTGAGGAAAGGAACATTTTATGAATTTCCTATACTCAACCTACAGATTTTCACCCTTTCTCAGTGGCAAGCTAGAAAGGCATAAGGAATTCTTCAGCAAAAAGTATCCTGTGTTTATAATTCACATATTATTTGACTGTTTGCACATAAAATATCACTTATTCTGAGCTTTGGTCACATTTACCTGTGTGAATTTTGTATACTGTTAAATATTTGAAACAGTCATAGAAGACCAAGCCAGGGTATTTTGCTTTGGTTAAGACTGAACAAATACGATATGGGTATTTTAAGGATATTGTCACTCACACAAAGCCTGTGCTGTAAGGGACATCTGCTAACAGTTCTTTATGTCACCAAAAACATTATAGCAAAGTATCGAGTTAGGGGTAACTAGTTTTCACTTCTGCTCAAACACCCAAACACGGGGGAAGTGATGGATCGAGCCCATATGCCTAACCTCACCCTCTGTTTTCCCTATTCCCAGCCTGCGACATGAATGTTCATAAGCAGTGCGTGATAAATGTCCCCAGCCTCTGTGGGATGGATCACACTGAGAAGCGGGGGCGGATTTACCTGAAGGCTGAGGTTGCTGATGAAAAGCTCCATGTCACAGGTAAGGCGTGCTTGTTCAGGAGCAGTGTTGTCAGTGGGCATTTGGATGAAGGTCAAGCTGCCACAGAGGCAGGATGGGGGCTGGGCTGGATGCCCTGAGGCCTCAAAAAGTTATTTGCCATGGCAGAGTTATCTGTCTTCGGGTCCTGCAAGCTCGCATTAACACATCTCCCAGGAGACTGGTCTGCACCCCCGAGTTCCCAAATACTTAATGTCATGCAAAGTCACAACCACCCTGTGCACTGGAGTATTCTGACAGCATGGCCACTGTATTCTCACCCTAGTGACAGGGGACAGGCAAGCCAATTAATCAAAATGCTGTTGGTGAGAGTGGAACTAGGGCAAGAGGATGGATGATGCAGGTGTATAATGGCATTAGGCTGGGATGACCCATCAGTCCACTGCAACCATAGCAACGGCCATTGAGTGCAGGTGCATCCACTGAGTGTGAGTGCAGTGCTAGGAACTTCACACAGATCAATTATTAGCCTCATTTTCCAGAAGAGGAAATGGAAGTACGGAGACATTGGTGATTTGCAATGTCACAGAGTCGGTAAGTGAGGAGCAGGAACTTAAACCAAGGCATTTGACTCCAGACCCTGTGCTTCTAATGGTCACACCTCCTACAAATGGGATTGGGATTCATCCTTTATGGGCCAGGATACTCGCTGCTTGGGGACATGTCTGGGTAGGCTCTGCAGGCTCTTCTTTTGGTTTGCCCACCAAATCCACTTGAGGTATACCAGCACAATCACGATGTGATGTCCTGGAGTCTTGTTGGCCCAGGACCCATCATGTATCTGCAAGATGTGTTGACTTCAGTGCTGTGGCCTACTTCACACTGATGTGTGGTTTAACTCTCAGACATCAACCTTGTTACTCTTGGGTCTTGGACCACCCGTACTTTTTCTTTGACAAGGACATTTACTCTCTAATTTGATCAGCAAAGGTATTATGTTTCCATTTGTATTTAGGAATTTTAAGCTATAATAAACATGGAAAGACTGACTTTAACATTATTTATTTGTAAAAGAAGATATAGAAGCAAGTGGAAGGGTCTGTTTAAGAAAAAAGGGAAAGGGGAGAGTTCCAGAGAAAGCTTACTTTTGAAAAGTTTCTCGTATTTTTTTTTTCTTTGAAAAATAAGCAAATTTTCTACCCACTGCTGTCCTTTCAGGTAAGAATTCAGGGAAAACCAAACAAAAGACTTTGAGGTGTTGCTAGGAGAGGGCAACACAGTTGAAACAAACCTTGTGAAACAAACCAACTATAGCTAATGGTCCAGATAGAACTGTGCATGAAATCCCCATCACAGACACAGAATCCCTTTTGACTTTGTGTTTTAGAAAAGTTCCTTTATTTTCTGAAAACCATCTGTGTTGCACTTTTGCTTTTGGGGCTGTGGTTCTCTCCTTTCCCTTTAACAGGGCTGACACTGTCAGCAGGGTTCACTGTGCCCTTCTCTCGGCTGACCTGGCACCAGTGCTCTCTGCCTAGAAGGGTCATGAACTTGGCCATGAGAATGTTTGCAACATCACAGCCTCACTCTTGTTTCTCTCTCTTTCCTTCTAAGGCTCCTGCATTGTCAAAATCATGTACTGGGGATGGGGAGCATGCAGTTTAGGAGAAAAATCACCATAAAACATAGTCTCAATAGGTTGTAAGGGACTGAGGAACATAAAGTAAGACGCCTGTTAGCTAAACATTCCTGTGCTTTTTCTTACCTTTTTCTTTACTTCCAAAGCTGCCCCTGTGGGCAATAGAGTAAGCATCACAGGTGAATAGTCAGAGTGTAGTTATGGGGTTTACACGTGGCACCTTACGGCTTGCTGTAAGGCAAGAATGCCTGGACAGTTTTTAAATGTTTAGCTCTCATTTGCTGTGTTAATGGATAAAGCAAAACATGCACTGTGCATGCTGCACTTTCCCTATGCCTTCTCCTGGAATAAAAGCAGCAACTATACGGCGTTGCCTGTGTCTTCCAGTCTCTCCTACAAGCCTCAAGAGCCTTGCAGATGTAAAGGTGCAGAGAGGCACAGATGCTTTGGCCCAGGTGGCACACGGTGCACAGGTGGAAGAGAAAGGTCAGGCCCCGTCATGCTGGGACTCATGCTAACCCCTCTAGCACTGCCAAGGACTTGACTTGCAATCATAGAATGATCTGAAGGGACAGTGCCTTTCACTGAATTGGACATGGACTTTCCACACATGAAAGCCGAACAGTACAACTTATGGCAACTATCTAGGTCAAGTTTCTTGAGAATTAGTCTAAAAATGTTTGTGTAGATATACCTCTACTCTAGGAATGTGAATTCAGCAACAGTTTGATGATAATAGCAGCAGCAGCAACAGCAGCGTAGGGAAAATACAGGAAAATGGTCAGGCCCCTCAGATGTTCAGAATCTTGCCGAGCATTTGATGTAAATATCCATGTGCACCCAGATGTTCCTTGGCTATCGACTAATTAATTGCGTATGTGCACCCAGGTTTCCTGGGTTATGGACTTAAGTATAAAAGACGAGTGGCTCTAATCCATAGGGCCCCACGGGGAGGCTGCTACTGAGGACTGAGCTTGTGTCGTCTGCCAATAGCTCCCGGGATCTTTCCAAATTACTTAGAGCTTGTAGACCTGCGTGTGAGGGGGTCTGGTGACACAGCCTGGCATGTGAGAGGTTTGTGACCTAGTCTGTACAACAGGCTTGAGGGGTCTGTGAGCCCTAGCCCTGATAATACAAATGGAAACTTATTGTAACTAAAACAATGAAACATTATGGCTTTAGTTATGAATTGCCTAACCAGTTAGCGTAGCTATTGACTCAACCATGCAATTTGTGTAGTCGTCTAGCTTGAGGAGCAGCTAACACTGAATACTTTGCACAAAAGGTCACTTTCTACTTGCTTTACATAGCTAACTTATTCAAACCTGTGAGGAATTTACCATGTCCTGTTTACTATGTAGATGGAGGGACTGAGGTACAAAGAAATGAAGTAACTTACCCAAAGTCACACAGATGGTAAATGTCAGGCTAGGGCTCACAGACCCTTCAAACCTGTTGTGTAGACTGGGTCACTAAACCCCTCACAGGCAGGTCCCCGACTTAAGTAATAGGAAAGATCTTGGAAGCTGTGGGTAAAGATAGGCCTTATTCAGATGCAAGCTCAGGTAGCTAGCAGCAGCCACCCTCATGGCATCCCAAGGGCACTGTGCATCAGAACTGTGTGTCCTTTATACTTTGCGAGTCAGATAACCAAAGAACAGTGGGGTACACATGCACAATTACATCAGACAATAGCCAAGGAACACCTGGGCACGTGTGTGCATTACATCAAACAACCAAGGGACACCTGGGCACACGTGCACATATTTAAACAGGCCAGGTCATGCTCGGCAAGATTCCGAACATCTGAGGGATCCTGACTATTTATATTTCAACTTCCCTTACAGTAAATTTAATGGTTAAATATATAAACAGCAGAAATAGAAGGAATTTTAATGAGAGTGTTAATAAGAATTGGGATGTATTTTTAAAATACAGGTGTTTCTGAAGAAAATCCCAATCCTAAGTATAGAAAGTCAAACTCAAGGAAATAGCTAATAATAGTCAATCATAACTTTAAAACTCTTAAGGTAATTTTAGATTTCCAGAAAAGTTTCAAAAGTAGTAGAGGGTTCCCAAACACTCTTCACTCCACAAGCCCTAATAACATCCTTGCATAGCCGTGGTTGAAGCATCAATGTTATCACATTTTTAAATAGTACCTGATAAGGGGCCGGCCCGGTGGCGCACTGGATGGTGCGCCGCTTGGGAAGCGCGGCGGCGCTCCCGCCCGAGGGTTCGGATCCCACATACAGACCGGTTCCCGCTCACTGGCTGAGCGAGGCGCGGGAGCAACGCCAAGGGTTGCGATCCCGTTGCCGGTCCCCGGTCTGGTACGGGGGCAACACTGAGAGGGTTGCGATCCGTTGCCGGACACGGAAAAAGACAAAAGAAAAAAAAAAAAAAAAAAAAATAGTACCTGATAAGTCTATGAAAAATACGTACCCACATTAGTTGCTAGGAATTGTTTTTAAAGAGCCAAGAGAAGACATCAGGTGTGTCTTATTCTAGCATGAAAGAACTACAAAAAATACCAAGCAGAGATCCTTTAGAGGAGACCCTCCAGTGAGAAGTGGCTTCTCCTACCATTACTCGCCCACACCTCCTCCTAAAATAGTTCAGGCACAAGTTTGTCTTGAGAAATGTTTTGGATAACAATAGCTCCCATTTACTGAGGGCATAATACATACTTACTATCCACAGGACTGGATCCTTCTTTGTGCTGAGTACTTTATATTCATTGTTTCATTGACTCCTCCAACAATCCTATGAAGTATGTGTTGTCCTCATTTTTGAGATGAGCAAAGGAGCTGAGAGAGGGAAGGAAATTACTCCAAGTGGTGGAGTCGGGGCTGGAGCCCGGGTGTGACTCTCACACCCTTGCTTTCAATGCCTCGGCTGTAAACATCCCAAGTCTCTCTTATTTTTTTATTTTATTTTATTTTATTTTCCTTTTTATCTTTTTTACTGACCGGTAACAGGATTGCAATCCTCGGTGTCGCACCCGCACCGGGGACCAGCAACGGGATCGCAACCTTCGGTGTTGCGCCCGCACCGCGCTCAGCCAGTGAGCGGGAACCGGTCTCCACATGGGATCCGAACCCTCGGCGGGAGCGCTGCCGCCGCCCTCCCAGGCGGTGCACTCTCCAGTGCGCCACCGGGTAGGCCCCCAAGTCTCTCTTATTAAAGAGTCCCCTTTTAAACAAGTAGTAAACCCAAAAATATTTGCTAAACCTGCATTCAGCACTCTGTGAGGTTCTTTGAGGTTACAGAAAGTCCAAACGTGAGATTTAAAATCAGGGGGGAAAAGAGTAGCATGTGAAGGAATTAAAGAACCATCCAAGTCCAAGTTTGAATAAATGCCAAATTATGTGGTCACTGAGTAGTATACCATTGGGAGTTG